TACACCCTACCAGATGATGATAAACACTGATATCCCTTGTGTGCTAAACTAGAAGCAATGAAGGCACATTTTTCTGTGTGGAAAGAAAACTTGTTTTCTAAAAGGGTCGAAGATATGGATAGCAGCTGCATCCAAATACCTCAAGTTCTTTATAATTGGGTTCTTGATGAAGCAAAATATAAAAAGGTGATACAAACCCTAGTATAGTGGATGGTAATCTATTTAAGAGATATGTGGCTGTGCTAAAGGCAACCTACCAATACTTCAATGGCATACTAGTATGAGCCAAAAGAGATAACTCATATTCTATAATAGCCTTATGTTTTCTTTCTATTCGACCATTTTGTTAGTGAAGATATGGACATGAATTTCAAAACATAATACCATGATGTTGTAAGTATCCAATAAAGGACTTGAATTCTCCACCCCAATCGGTTTGCAAGCACTTCATTTTTACACCTAGCCGTCTCTTTATGAAGCTATGAAACTGAGCAAACATAGTGTATGCTTTTGATGTTTGTCTTAAAGGATAAATCCAAGTGTACCTACTAAAGTCATCAACGAAAATAATGTAGTACTTATAACCCTCATTTGAAAGAAGTGGAGCAGGTCCCCAAAGATTAGAGTGGACTAAATCTAATGAGTTGTTGCTCTGAAGGAAGAAGAGGGAAAAGTACACTGCTGTAATTTACCATACTAACAAACCTCACAGAAAAACCTTTTATTGCTAGAAAGAGAGTTCTTTACATTCAATTTATTTAGTACAACATAAAGAATCTTAACATTTGAATGTCATAATCTTGCATGCCATAACATGGAAGAATTAAAAGATACATTGTAGTTATTGCACTTAGAACTAATACTGGATTTAGAGGTACTAGCAACAGCAGTAGTAAAAGCTTGAAGTTCTTATGAACCAGAAACATAGCTTTCAGATACAGGTTGTTCAGCACCAGAATGCTCTGCGAGATGATCAACCCTAGTTGCAGAGTTGGTAGCAACAAGTTGAGTTGCTTGTGACGAAGTATATGAGGTAGGTGCAGTTGAGTATATATTGCAGAGAGATATTACTAGGAAGGTCTAACTGATAAAGACCATCTTTCATTGTTCCTTATAGTAACACAACTTCGCTGTTTTTATCCTTTACCAAGCAACGATCAGAGTGAAACTCCACAATGACATTATTATCCTTAGTTATTTGGGAAATACTCAAAAGATTTTTAGCAATTTTTGAAACACATAGTATTCTTCTAAGCTGAATAATTCTACGTGAATCATAAGAGGGAACAAGTAGTATACCTGTATGAGTAATAGGTATAGACTCTCCATTACACACTTGAACCTTAGAGTTCCTTGGATAACTGGCTGCATGCGTTAGGTTGGAGGCATCTGCAGTCATGTGGTTTGATGTACCGTAATCCATGTACCAGGAATTATCATGGACAATTTTTGGAGTGGCAATGGTTGATTGAAAAGAGTTTACGGAGGCTGATGAGGTATTAGGAAATGGTCCTTTATTTGTATGCATAGGTGAATTTCCATAGGAGCATTGAGAAATGTCATTAGGAGCAGAGGTATTAGGAAATGGTCATTTATTTGTATGCATAGGTGAAGTTCCATAGGTGCATTGAGAAGTGTCATTAGGAGCATAAGGAGAACCATGAGTCAGATTAGTTGGAGTAGTGACTGAAGCATTATGAAGACCAGGATATGAGTTGTTAAAACAGGGATTTGATGGATGATTACCAGGGTAAGGATTGTTAAAGTAGGTGTTAGGTGAATGGTTGTAAGCAAAAAGAGCAGTAAGTTCACTGGAGATTCCAGATAGGTTGGTTTGTGGGTTGACCAAGGGATTATAGAAAATTGGATGTACTGATTGGTTGTAGGTATGTGAGTTAAACCCCTGATATTCTTGATCGAAACGATGATGTCACTGGAGGGCAGAATGACCTGTTTTCCTGCAAACTTGGCATATCAACTTTAGTTTAAAGTAGTCGCGTCCTCTGCCTCTACCTTTCACCATATTGTTATAGAAGACCTGAGAAGGACCAGTAGAATCGGCTTGAGGAAGACCAACATGATAAGGAGCTCTGAGATTGCTTCCTAATTGTCTACCATTTCCCAAATTCAAGATTCCTTCTGTCAACTAAGGAAACATTTGAGTTGCAGAACCAACACTGCTGCCTTGTGGCTGAGAGTAAACTTCATGAGTTTGATAGTTTAAGGATCCTGTGTTTTCTATATGTGTGGTATTTAGAAAGACAGTCCCTGATGTGTTAGATGGCACATATGGAGAAGAACTGACAGGCCCTTGTTTAGAAGCAATTAGTGCAGAAGTGAATTGCTCATGAAAATTAGTCAATGCACTAGATTGTCTTGCCAATCTCAGTTCATGCTTGTGAAGCATAAGCTGAGCTTCTTGAAGTGTTGCATCTTTACTATTGTATGTCAAACTAGCTACCACCGCATCATACACTGGTCCTAGACCATCAAGTATATATAGTAGTAATTCTTCATCACTAAGCTTGACTCCACTATCAACCAATTCATGTCCCAACTCTTTCATTTTCAAGACATATTCATTAACACTCAAAGATTCCTTCTTTGTGGTCTGTAATAGATTTATCAAATGTAATGCCCTAGCTTTCGAAAAGGACTGAAAATGAAGATCTAGTGTATTCCATATTTCATAAGAGCTAGTGCATTTGGCCACATGCCGAAACATCGACTTCGAGATTGATGAAAACAACCAGCTCACTAAAAATTGGTTTGTTCTCTTCCAATTGAAATACCTAGGGTTTGGTTTCTTTATTAACTCTTCAGTCTCAACCGATTTCTCAATTAGAAGCATAGGGGAACATATATTCTCACCATTAACGAAGCCATCAAGATCGTGTGAAGCAAGAGCAGGAAGAACTTGGGACCTCTAGTATCCATAGTTCTTCTCTACGAGTTTAACATAGAGTGTTGGAAGGAAAGAGTGAGCTCCTGAGCTTGATACGTTTGCATTCCCAGTTGGCTCAATCTCCATCTTCAAGCTGACATTTGAAGTTTCAGGAATCGAAGTAGCCATTGACGTTTGTCGAGGCTCTGATACCATGAAGATTCTTGTTTAACAAACGAAAAATAAAGAACAAGAACAAAGAAAAGATTCTAAGAGAAGGCGAGAGAGAATTGGGAATTTTCTTCTTTAGATTTTTCTAACTGAAAAACTGTTACAAGGTAGCAATGTTTATATATATTGAATACATAGTAAAACGCACTGTTTTCCACTAAGTTTTGTTTTATTACAAACACAACCCATATATATTGGGAATTCTTCTACCTTCATTCCAATATGGTTGAACTGGTCGAGCTGGGCTGGGTTTTAAAACATTGGTACAAATAGAACATGCAAAATTCTATTTTAGTTTATACATTGAAGTGTACAAATAGAACATGTAAAATTGTTTGTAAATAATTGTGTCGAGGGTAGTAATACCTTTTACAAAACATTGTTGAATGTTTCCAGTCTACGGATGTTATAAGTCAATTGGAAAAATATTATTATCTTTTACAGTTACAATTCTACTCTACTGATATTATCATAAGTCAAATGGTAAAAAAAATATTATTCACATATATTATTTATTTATTAAAAAACATAAGATATATCTTGTTTTAGAGATTTTGTCTCTAGATAATGTTGTTTTCCCACCTTTAATAATTAAAATTAGGCCAAAAATAAACAGGAAATGTATTTTATTTTAACTTAATGAGTAATAGATGTATGGGTTGGTGTTATTCTCATAAGTTTGATCATTATTTTCCATCAACTTGTGTAAAATTGGAGCCTCCAAACCATTACAATATGAATGTAATTTAAAATAGAAGAAAATGTTTCTATTTGTTATTGGAGCTTTAAATTATGAAACTTGATATTATTGGTGAATATAAATTGAGTGTTTGAATGATTTTAGATTGGAAATCTTTAGTCAGCCCATTGCAAGCAACATGCATGTCAAGTGGTGGGGAATTCGACATCATATTCTATTTGTGTTCTCACTCTATTCTTTTTACGATTTTAGTCTTAATTAAAATTAAACTATTAAAAAATGCTAATAATACATAGAAAAATAAATTTGTCCAACCTCAAATGATTGGCTTGGTGGTCAACAATGTTTATTTCCTTCATTGACTTCCTTGTTTGAATTACCTTAGGGTTACTTACCATATTTATGACTTATCTTAAAACATTGAGTTTATAGTGTGTTTAATGGGTATCGGAGATTAGTTAAAGTATGCGTGAGCCAGTTCGGACACCCGGATCATTAAAAAATAAAAAAATAATGATAAATTTGTCCGAGAGATATACAAAAGTTTATGCTATTTTAAGATATACTTGAGTGACGCCGAAGGCAGAAAGAATTAATTAAGCATCATGTATTTGCAATTTTACTGGATTCAAGTTGACTTGTCTCACTCTCATCACATATTTAGTGCCTATTAATAATCAACAGTACCAGCACTACCACCACCACCACCACCACCACCACCCCTAATCTTAAGATAATTAATTATATTTCTGAAAACATATTGGGAAATAGCACTATACCAAAATTTCAGTACTGGTTAAATCAAGATACTTTATCGGTCATTTTTTGGTTACCAAAAAGGGTTATTTAATATAATTTCCATGAATAAGAGATTTTATTTACTGAAAATTACTAATCGGGCCTGCTTTCCTTTTCAGACCTTTCCTATTACTCAGTCCACCTGATTCTGAAGCCTGAAGTGCATATAATAAAAACTACTCTTGCACCATTTATTGCTTCTTTGAGCTCATCAGTTTTGACAACAATACGTATAACAATATACAGATTTTCATAGAGACATCCAACAAACCAAACAGTTTTTTGTATTAAATCTTTGTTACAGATCTAGTCATAACTAAACTATGTTTATGGCTTTTTGCCAGTATCTATCATTTGATTTTGATTATACTAACTATTTTTTAATTACTAGTCTACTTCTGGTATGCTTTCTAACTCCGGCTTCCACACTTGGTTGTATTCAGCTTCATTTTTTTTTTGAGAAATCATATCCTCAACTGAAACTCCTCCCTTTTGCATCAGCTCCTGCAATTCTTGCTTACTGATAACCATCTTTATTCTCACAATACCGGCGGTTCCTTGCCCATCTCCGGCCGCCTTCTGATCCGAAAACCTCACCTTCTTTTTCTCAACTTTTGGTACTAGAAAGTACAAGTTCCCACCAACAAGTTTAACATCCGGCCTCAGTTTCCTGATTTCTGGAAGCGAATCGGAGAGTGAATGCCCCGAAAATTCTGACAAAACGTCCTCCACTTTGATGGGTGATTTATATTCCAGAACTTTTCCATCAGATCTCATCACCTTTATCATCTTTTCTTGGTGAACTAGGCAATTCCCCATGGCCACAGGTTTTAGCAGTGCAATTAAATAACGTTTATGATGAAATTGGATTTATAATAAGGGAAGAATGGTTATGGTGGGAGTGGGAGTGGGAGTATTTATAGGATTGAGGATTCTGAGTATGCCCTCTAAATGTACAAATATTACACAATTGCCCCACCCATCTCTCTTTGGACCCCATTGTGTTTGACACTTTGGTAAAGAGTAAACTGCAGTTGGGAAATTCTTTATCAATCGTCATTGATGGTATCATAAACTCACTGAGTCACATTTGAGTCAAATCAGTTGATACGGCCTCAAATTTATTCTCTTAAATAAATTTAAAATAATAAATACCTTGTAAAATTGATTACCAGTATACATATAAACCACCAGCCACTCCCTATTTGAACCCAAAAACGTATTATTCATCGGATTACTTAATACACAATTAATGAATTTAACTTAGATTAAATTCATATATAAGCAGTTAATTATTTGTAAAACAGATTGCCATTTCTACACCACAAGAAACTGTTATGTACTGCTTAGACTTCTACTGCCGTAGGAAATGAAGTCCATATACAGTATCTTTACCGATGCAATTCTTTGATTGTTTTCTCGATCAAAATTCTTCTCATTTTGATGTATTTTCTTTAGTTCTTCTTATTTTATCTTTGTAACTGTTAGGAAAATACGCGTAACTCAGTGGGTTTGAAAGGGATGAGGAGCGCATTCAGAGTGGAAGACCCACCGCATTGCTATGGAATAAAAGGAGATGAGCTTTCAGTTGCAACCCAAAATGATATCAACATTGACTATTTGTTATAGCAGTATACTTGCGTGATGTGATTTATTAATTCTCTTCATTTTCCATGTTCTTCAAATCTCTGAATTTGATTTTGAATTGAAAGGTTGGTTAAATGCAAATTGGAAATTGAATAACGCTAGTTGTGATCTTCAACTTCAATCTCTATCAAATTTTACACGTTTTGCTTGGTTCCCTGTGTCAGTGCCGTTCGGTCGAGCAACAAGTGGAGCCCATTTCCAGGAAGGTTAAATATATTTCAATCTACTATAATGATACAAAACAGAAAGATGTTTCATCCAATAATCATCAATCTCTCCCTCGTATAGTTGAAGATGGTGAATAATTAATGTACTGTTGTCAACACGCATGCCTGCACCCAATATACTTTATGTGGTTGTAAATGAAGTAGTGGGGGTAGAAAACTCAGCAGCTCTTTTGGAAATTCTATAAGAAAACGACAACTAACTTTAACAGAAACCCCATTCACCTCATCCTCTAAGGCTTTATATTTATACAAGTCAATAATTAATTTAAACAAATCAGCAAAGTTTGGACTGGTTGTCCACAATATACTTCCACCATGTATGGTTTACCTCTTATTTACATGGTTATTTTCTCTTGCAGGGGGAAAAAAAAATCAGAGTTGTAACTTTCCATGTAAAAAAGAAAAAAAGTAAATTTATAGTGACTTTAATATTCATATTTACCAGGGAATTTAATTCTTCATAGTAGTTGTACTTGTGGTCTTAAAGCAATATTGTAGTTTGAAAAACAGACATATTCTTTTCACTTTTTGAATTTCGTAGCCGTAGATTTTCTTTTACTTTTCTTTCAACATTCCCTTTGTCCTTTTGTTGTTTTGTTGCTTCAAGACTTTTACACCCGTCTGGTTAGGGGTAATAGAAGATGATGCTGGTTATTTTTCTCAAAATGGGATGTTATCATGTTTGGTTTTTAGGTAATTAAAGATTTTGGTAATTTTTTAATGTAAATAGTGTTTATTGTAGGCAAAATTGGGAGTAATCCGATTACTAAGTGAAATAGTGTTATTTTAAAATTATCGGGATAATCTAATTTTTATTCTCATTTTACCTTTAGTTAAGTAACATGTCGATTTTTTAACACAAATGCTCTTGTATGTATGTCAAATAATAATTAGCCTAATTATGTGCAAAATAGCTTCTATAACCCAGTAACATTTGAGAATTTGGCTAAAACACTCCACCAAAATAGGAGTTTAAAATATAACAAAATACTCCTAGTCATTCAAGCGACTACCAACTGTCGACAGCAATCGTTGAAATGAGATATGAACGGTCGGATCTGGCCGACTGTACACTGATTTTTCTGTTTTTGGCTAGATCGATGGCCGAAAACGATCAAATAATTTAAATAATATTATAATAGTATTTTTAAAAAAGGCCAATTTAGTAAAATGGTCTCCCAGAATTCTTTTATTCTTCTCAACCAAACATATTAATTATTTATACCTACCAATCTAACCAAATATATATTATTATAAAACATTCCCTTTAATCGTTAAGTTAATCTATCTTACTGGTAATCCTAACTTTTTAGTAATACAATATTTCTTGAATCAAACGACCTGAAAAGGGTAATGTCACTTCTACATGAAGGCGGCCGCCACCTAGAATTCTTATATATCCACTAATTGGTTAATTAAAATACTATTTATTTGAATGTGAATGATAATGATTCATATCTATATATATCCTACATGCATCGATGAAACTAAAACAATGGAACTGTTAAAATTATATGAAATCTTCTCCTTTTTGCCGACGGCTTTCAGGATATTAATTGTTTCAGGTTTTTGGTTACCATGGAAACAATGAAACTAACAAAGGAGCGGGGTAATCAATTATGTCAGCTTGATGAATATGCCACTATACACTAAAAAACGAAGGCTCTTACTATCAGTATTGGAAGAATTTTTACAGGAGGCAATCCTGATAATTGGAGCAGCCTAAGTCAACTTAATTTAGTCTTTAATTGCGATTTATAAAATTTCCTTTTCTCCAATAATAAACTTAATTAATTCATTTTCCAAGTAGGGAGAGCTTTATTGTCGATGACCAGATGATTGCTGTAGTCGTTAATGGTTCAACCTGCTAGTCAAATCGGAAAGCACTTGTACTTAATTTCAAAGAGACAAATATTCCTTTCCCTTGTTATTTTCTTTTACTTAGATTTTGTTTGATTTTCTTTTTGTTGTTTATTGTACACTTGGTCAAGACTTAGCAGGAAAGTTTATATGGCATGCAGGAGGGCGACATCTGCTGCTTAGTGGCTGGGCGGCACCGCCCTGTAGAATATTTGTAATTGAATTAGAGATCTCTTCATTAATATTTAATTATTAACCACTAATCATGAAGTTTAGCTTAATTAGCACAATGGACCTTTGCTTAACTGACATGTGATTTCTGATGGCTTTCAATTGTGCTCTTATGGCCTTCACTGTCTTACGCTTTTTGATTTTTTTTATATATATGATATTTAATAACAAATAATACTTGAATATTCATATAAATAAAGCATCTAAAATCATTTCTCGTTTACCTTGTTGAAATACTTCACTTCTTTTACTTATTCTGTTCAAACCTTTTGCTTAATTTGGTTGGTAACTTGATTAATCAGCAAAATTTGTTTGTATAGAATTTTGTTACGCTTTCATTAGTTTAGCTCCCAGAAATTATTAAGCATAATGACTCCATGATGTTTCTTATTGGGAGTAGAACAAAAAGGGTTCAAATTTAGAGCTAGTAGAAGATTGAAACAAATAAAAATGGATCTAGAGAAAATCTGAATTTTCATTAAATGAACAACAACTTTATATATACAAATTAGTGTACGATTCTGAATATGAATTTCTTTTTTAGGTATCATTTCACGAAAGAAATGGATATCTCTTTCTCTTTGTTTGGTTTTTCCATGTAGTATAGGATTGAATTATGCAATGGAAGTGATGCTACTGCTTGATTATCGCACCAAACAATTGGAGCTTCATTTAGGTTCAGAATGAGTTCACTAAGAAGGGAATTGATCCAAGCAACTTTTGGGGCTGTTTGAACCGAGGCACGGTCTATGTGCTAGATTTAGACACAACTCTTTGCTTCCTTGAGCTCCAGACTACATGATTTTCTCCAGAAAAGATACAAAAACCACCAACAGATTTTCTATCTTCTATGGCTCAAGCCCAATCGACATCTGAGTAGTGAGTATCCTATAATCTTTGTTCTTCCATTTGAAGTGAACCGAAGACTATGCTGAATTGTGCCTTATAAATATCTTAACACTCTCTTGCAACACTGCCAATCCTACAATCCAAATCAGAAGGCTCTTGCAGTTTACTAGTCTACTTCTGGTATGCTTTCTAACTCCGGCTTCCACACTTTGCAGTATTCAGCTTCATTTTTATTTTGAGAAATCATATCCTCAACTGAAACTCCTCCCTTTTGCAGCAGATCCTGCAGCTGTTGTTTACTGATAACCAACTTTATTCTCACGATACCGGCGGTTCCTTGCCCATCTCTGGCAGCCTCCTCTTCCGAAAACCTCACCTTCTTTTTCTCAACTTTTGGCACAAGAAAGTACAAGTTCCCACCAACAAGTTTAGCATCCGGCCTGAGTTTCCTGATTTCTGGAAGCGAATCAGAGAGTGCATGCCCTGAATATTCTGACAAAACGTCCTCCACTTTAATGGGAGCTTTATATTCCAGGACTTTTCCGTCGGTTTTCATCACCTTAATCATCTTTTCTTGCTGAACTAGGCAATTCCCCATGACTTAATTGATTCCTGTTTTAGTTGTTAAAATAAGGATTTTGATGAAATTGGATTTGGAATAAGAGAAGAATGGTTATTGTCGGAGTAGTTATAGGAAAGGATTGTGAGCATGCCCTTTTAATGCGTAAATATTACACAATTTGCCCAACCCCACCTCTCTTTGGAACCCCATGGTTCTTGAAATTTTGGTAGTGTAAAGTGTAAACTGCAGTTGGAATTTCTTCATCAATCATCATTCATGATATCATAAACTCACTGAGTTCAGTGAGTCGATACGGCATTAATTTTATTGTCCTCATCCTCAGTAATTTAAACAAATCTATACCCAGTGAATTTTATATAAAATTTGATTATTTGTGAACGATTTATAGTATACTTATAAAGCTATTTGAACCCAAAAATAATAATAGTATATAGATTGTTTTCATGTATGCTTTCCATCAACTAATCGAAATATGGATTAGTATTCTCTGAATTCTTCTTGCTAATTTTGATGTATGTTGTTTATATTTGCACTTGAATTGAAAAAAAAACTAGTAGGAAAATCAGCATAACTCAGTGAGTTTGGAAGAGACCCACCCCATAGCTATAGAATTAATAAAAATAGAAAGGAGTGATTGAGCAGTAATATTTGCTTATTTGGATGCTTGTAGGTTTTGCAATTTGCAGTAACTTCAACAACATGCGTGAATGTGATTACTCCTTCACTGGTCGGCCAAACCATTATACTATCCTTTTCCTTTGGACAAATTTAATACGTTTAAATTATTTAAATGTTAGAAACAAGTATTTTCAAAAGAATTGAGATAAGAGGTTGAAGGAGATTGATAAAGATGGTATAAATAAATAAAAGGGAGAATAATTAATGTTGTCCCTGCCAATATAATTTATATGGTTCTGATTTGTTGTACATAAAGTAGTGGGGGCAGCTCTTTTGGAAATTATTTTAGAAAATAAGACAACCACAACTAACTTAACAGAAAGGCCATTCAGCTGATCCCCTTGTCCATCAGGGTTTACTAAAATAAATACTACCTATTACTATTACAGTTTTATAAACAGGATCACATTTACTAATGCCACTGCCAATCATCATAACTCGTTAGTAATTCAACAAGTAGAGTTACATATATTCGGTGGAAATTTCAAAAGTTTTCCTACATAATTGGAGAGTGAAGATGATAATATTTATTATTTTCCCCATAGTTTCATACACAATCTTCCATTAATGCTTTATCTCATGTGCTTAGCTGAAGATATTTTGGTATATATATATATATATATATATATATATATATTGTCGTATTGTTGTTGTTCATCATGTTTGTTGGATTTTTATTCATGGTGGAATCAAAGCTGTAATTATGTCAGCATGATGAATATGCCAGAGCCACTCCTAAATTTATTCATTATTTAAAAAAAAAAAAAAAAAACCTATTAGTACTGTATAGGATCGAGTTAATTGTATTTACTCTATTGGGATTCGGTTTATTTTCAAAGTTCTGCGGTTTAAAATACTGGAACACTCCCTTTTCAATTTAAGAAACTGTTTATGGTAACAAATTTTTTTATATTTTTTCTTGTATCATTATTTGGTTAATACTTCGACAACATGAGAGATATTCGGATTTTTAAATAGTAAAATGTAAGACCTGGAACATCATTGACCCAAAACTCAGGGTGGATAAAGTTCCTTTCGTATAGGATTTTCCAGGCAATTAATATTAATTGTGATAGTTAAAAGCAGCCTAACTTTGGCCTTTTCGATTTTAGATATAATATTATCTAATTACAACATCAAACAATTAATGATTCATTATCCTATTCCCCTCTTTTATTCTTCGCTACTTATGATTTATGTCCCATTCACTTGCAAAATAATAAAATATTATTTGAAATTGTTCCCCCATAAGTTAATAGAAAGCCAACCCATTTATAGATTTTTTAAATACATGAAAATACTACTATTTTATCCATATTTTAATGCATTGCTATAATAGTAATTTACAATGCACAAAAGACCAAAATATCCTACTAATAATTGTAAATAATTAATATTAAATACTTTATTAATTAATATCAAATGTTTTAATCGATTATACTGAATAAGAGTTGAGTACAATTTACTTCTTAATGAATCATTGAATATGAAAATTAAAATAACAATTCCCCTATTCTCACTGTTGTCATCTAACTTAATTACCCATTTCACAGGTAATCGATTAAATAATAAATTAATTAAAACAAGTGAACAAGGTTTGGAGTAGTTTTACCTTGTTGTACGGTTACCCCTCATTTACATAGTTGCTTTCTCTTGTATGGAAATAGACTTTTTTTTTTTTTTTTTTTTAACCATGTTACCAATTAACTTAATTTTTAATTCCTTTATGGTCGGGGATGTCCCGACTAGTTTTGCACACCTCAACTCATCCCCTTAGACCCTAGAATATTATCGGTTGGATAAGAGTTCTAATGACTACCCCTATTAATACTTAATGAGGGACTCGAACTCAAGACCTTTTGAATAATATATTCAAGAGTTCTTATCGAATCACTCGCTTTCACCCAAAGATGGTTAAAAATATAGATAATTTTTAATAGTAATTGTAGTCTTTGTAAAGCCAATTGTAGTTTGAAAAACAGACAAATATTCCTTTCACTTTCTTAATTTCTTAGCCTTAGATTTTCTTTTTTGTTGTTTTGTTGCTTCCAGACTTTTACAAAAGGGGACAATTGGACAACTGCATCACGCTGGTTGGGCGGCACCGCCATTCACAACTCATTGCATTTGACTTGTACATAGAGGAGAAAATCAAATTGAATATAAGCTTTCAAGTTTCAGGTGTGTGTTTTGTTTGATTTTTAAATTGCTTTAATTTTAGAAGATGATATGTGCCATATGTAAAATGACAAAAATAGGCTTCTTCTTTTCTTTTCTTTTTTTTTTTTTAAAAAAGGTTTTTATTATTAAAATATATTAAAAATAATTTTTAAATATAAATATAAAAAATGAAAAATTGGCCAACGAATTTGCTAGAAGGTAGCCACCGACAATGGTCGGACGCTATCTCAATAGGCTCATCCGACGACACCACCCACTCCATTGGGTAGATTGCCGACTGATCTACCCAATTGAGCAGTCAAAATGGCTGAAATCTAGCCTAACTGTTACGACAAAACGCTAGAAATTCTAGCTAGTCTGGTTGCTCCATTTGGTAGATTGATTGCTAGTCTACCCAATGGTTACAACGACGTCTAACTATCATTTGCGACTATCGTCTGACCACCACTTCATCGAATAGTTCTAAAGTTTTATTTTTTAAAAATTTAAAAATTATATAATTTATTTAATCAAAAATCATTTATACAAAAATTAGAATTTATGTTAACCTTACAGTGTTTTTGGTAATTAAAATTTCAAAAACAATTATTGAATTCTAAAAGTCAAATAGCTACTTTTGAAATCCTTTTATAAAATAGATCCTTTTATAAAATAGATTATTTCATAATCAGCTTAGTTTATAATCACTTTTCAAACTAATTTACCTAACACTTTTTGTATTTCAAATTATGAAATAAGTGATTATAAAAATAAAAAATCCAACAACTTCAAACTAAACTTTATCAATTTCCTGTCAGACTATCTCCGTCTTTTTTACTTTAAAGCTACCTTTAACTTTTGTCTTATATATATATACTATATATATATATATATCTATGTATAATATATATAGGAATAAACTCTATATAATGATAAAAAATTATAGTCTCAATTTGGGATAGTTATAAATAAGAATAAACTCTACATTATAATAAGTTATAATTTTTCTAATTCCTGCTTTAAGAAAAGTTGTCTCTACATAGTGATAATTATCTGTATATTATAAAAATATATATGTTATGTAAAATTAAAGGTTTAAAATGAAATAAAATATTTATTTAAAATTATTTGGAACAATGATTTATGCTTTAGAGTTATTATCACATCTTTTACCTTACGAGTACGTAATAGCTCGTTAGCATGAATACCTTCTTGTTGAAGCCAAAATATTTTTAGTTTCTTAAGCATGTTTAGAGCTTCATGGCACAAGACTTTTTGTATTTCCTTGCTATTATCCTTAGGATTATTTCTTTTCTCTTCTTGTCTAATTGCAACAATAATTTCTATTTTAGTTAAAGCATACACGATTTGTTGCTCATTTGGATAATCGAAGAAGATATTAATATTCATTCGATTAGTATAATGAAGTTATCGAATCTGATCACTCAATTCTATAGTGACTCTTTTATTCTCCTTATCCACTTTATTTGTAACTTACAATTCATTAACATTAGTGGTCCTAATTTTGTAGTGCTTAAAACCATTGACAATTGTCTATGGCTTCACATCAATTGACCAAGCATCAACTGCATTTACAGTTCCATCAATGACACTTATTTTTGCTGGTTTTAAGAAACGATCTTTTATCCGTTTCAAAAGTAGGCAATCGAAGTACTGAATTGAAATCCTAATATTACTAAAATATGAATTGAAATCCTAATACTGTACTACTAAAACATGAATTATAAAATAAGAAATCAGAACTATAATTTTTGTAACTATACCTCTATTAAGTTATAACCTCTTTATAGTAATAAAATTAGTTAGTCTCACCATTATGACTATAGAGAGGTTTTACTGTATATATAATTAGAATGAATGATGCCATTCCACTAATCTTTTGTTCTTCATCACTGATCAAAAATTTAATTGGCATGCTTTCTGCACTTTTCGGAAAGTTACTTGATTCTTGTCCTAGGTAGAAAATTAATTTATAAAATTACATTTTAATTTCTCATATTCACTTTTAGTTTATACTTATTTTTAGGGTTTATTATTGGAGTAATGTTACCCTTAGCTTATTTTGCCAGTCTAGAATAGTGAAAAAACTTATATATAACAATCTTACCATGTCACTTAGTTGACGTGGTGAGATTGTCCAACAATATAATACATAT